CCACACACACACACACACACACACACACACACACTCACCCTTTCCGTGGCTTGCTCACATCAAAAGGTAGCCCCAGACACGGTTGAGGTACACGTGAGTACAGTTTGGTCCCCGGGTAGTTCCAGCGTGGTTTGTCCCATGTGTACACCTGAGGGGGATTTTACGTCGTTCTTGGGGTAGGTAGGGTAAGTGTTTTACGGCGCTCACAACTGCATAAGGTCATATTATGAGCGCGCAGGACACTTTATACTTTTTCAGTTGGTAAGAAATTTCGAACCCGGGACCTTTGAATGAGAGGCGAACACGAGAGCCCCCACGAGAGGATTTTTTACAAATTTAGTAAGAGTTTTACGGCACTTGCAACACAATAAGATCATTTAAGTACCGAAGATTAGAGGAGTTAAAAGAGAGTAACAAATACGAAAAAAGGAGGAAAGAGAGAGAATAGGTAGGTAGGTAGGTAGGTAGGTAGGTAGGTAGGTAGGTAGGTAGGTAGGTAGGTAGGTAGGTAGGTAGATAGGTAGGCAGGCAGGCAGGCAGGCAGGTGGGTAGGTAGGTAGGTAGGTAGGTAGATAAGAGGTAGGTAGGTAGGTAGGTAGGTAGGTAGGTAGGTAGGTAGGTAGGTAGGTAGGTAGGTAGGTAGGTAGGTAGGTAGGTAGGTAGGTTAATAGGCAGATAGGTAGACAAGTAGACAGGCAGGTAACTAGCTAAAAATTGGGGCATTTGTATGACTAGACACCTTTTCCCAACCTAACCCTCGAAACCATATTTTACAACACAGAGAACAGCAAAATAACAACTCAAATTCGTGACAAGGGACAGGCAAGCGTGGTGTTGCCTGCTCTCTGCACTGAGGTAGGCGTTCCTGTCGAGTTAGGGAGAGGGTAATTGTGAGGCAGCGTGGTGGAATCAGGCTCTCGTCAATTTTTGGGCGTGTAGAGTTATTGGTGTCATCTTAAAGCTGGTTCATTTGTCTTTATTTGGATGGAAAACATATAATTTATTTCTGAATACAAGTTGAGATATTTGCAAAAGAAGGAGGTGGGGGTCACCTGTTTTCAGAGGTAAAATTAGTGAGGAAATGGCCGCCAAAGATTAGTTATTTCCTTAGCTTAAGAGTCCGTGGTAACTGAAGCTTTACATTTTTTGTGCCTTTAATCAACGTTTTTCAGAAAAATCCACATAGAAATTAGTTCTTTAATGGGCATGAAAGATGTTGAGCCAAAAATAAAAAATTTGATAAAAATTCACAAACTTGCGGAAAAATGCAAGTTTCGTCACTTTGATTATTTTGACGAGAGCCTGATTCCACCACGCTGCCTCACAATTTAGCAAAAGTAAGTAACCAAACAAGCATGAGAAGAACGCATGTTTTGATGACGTGGACAACCATGGGACTACACGTCTGCTGGGGCATTTCTTCGGTGACCCACGTTCAGCACTTTTTAAGGACCCCGAGCAAGTGTTGAGTTCCTGCGTGCTGTCAGCATCGCTGACCGTTTATGACGCCACAGCGCCAGAA